ATTAAATAAGCAAAAAGTAAAAAAAAAAGATTAAATGAGTAAATTAATAATATGAAAGATAATTTGGAAATTTTCCTGCATGCCTTGCACGCACACCTTCGGCTCGGTCTACTAAGGGCCACAAATTATTTTTCAATTTAACCCACTTTTGTCGCTCCACTTGGACCGTTCGCTTATGATTCGGCTTTCTAATGGCTGTTACTTATCACTCCCCTTCTGAACCCCTTGCTATTCATTGGCCTCAGAAAAGGAAACTAAAAAATGGCATTTTTAAGGAGTTAGGTGAGAAGATGAAACGCCAACCTGAATACCTGGATTGTATTTGTCGTCGAGCTCGGCATATGACAGTTGCGATATCGATTGCACATAGTTATCTCGGATCGGCTCTTCAAATTCCTCCTCTGTTATTGTATAGACCTGAAAAATTATACAACTTATTGAAAAGCCACCAAAAAAAAAAACACCGAAGTTGCTCATAATCTATGAACAAATTCAACCCTATATTAAATTTATAAATTATGGCCGGACCGTATTATCCGCGGTTGAGACTGGCTGTTTGCCTCAGAAATTACGGCTCGGCCGGCCAAAGGCCGCAAATTATTTATCAATTTAGTCCACTTCGGCCGTTCCACTTGGACCGTCCACTTATGATTCGGCCTTTCAATGTCCACTAAGGTGATGGACTATTCTAGATCACCAGTATCAACTACCTCTGTTCGAAATTCCGCTTTTTGCTTCTCGGGTAAAGATGCTTAACAGATGGGTAACATCCCCCGAGACTGTTTTTCCCTTGGTAACAACGGCGCCTCGACGCTGACCGGTGTTTTGCGGTCTAGCAATGATAGTATTCGGGATAGGTAGCGATGTTTTTCTGTGAAAAATAAGGCCAAAAACTTGACCAACGGGCAATCTGAGCAAAAAAAGTAATTGATTTGCGGGAAATCAGGCCAAAAAGCCATCGATCGACATGAAAATCGTGTTAAAAAAGCTACCAACATGCAAAATTAGGCCGAAAACTCATCGATCAACGCCAAAACTCGGCCAGAAGATCATCGATTCTTCCGAGAACTAGACCAAAATCTTATTCTACAACCGGAATTCTCCAAGAAAGCGACCAAATTTCCACGATAACTGGGACAAACGGCCACTGAATCAACAGGAAAAATAGGCAAAATCGCTATCAACTAAAAAAAAATGCGAAAATCAGGCCAAGAAGCCAAGAAATCTACCGCAAAATTGAGCCAAAAATCTATTGAATCTACTCGAAAACTACGCCAAAAACTCATCGTACGAAAGGAAAACTGGGTTAAACCATTGAGCTAAAGCAAAGCTAAACCAAAAATCCATCCATTACTGGGAGGGCTTTGCCAAAAAAACCACAAATGTACGTGAAAACGGCCAAGAAACCAATCGACCTTTACTGGGCCAAGAAGCCATTGATCTACAGGAAAACTAGCGCAAAAATCCATCGGTCCAGGGGCAACTTTACCCGGAAA